TGTTCAACCGTATCCTCAGTATCACTAGATATTTCATAGATTTCATGTGTTTGATTTATTGTAGATACTTCAGCATTTAAGTATTCAATATTATTATCATTAGTATGTGTTTGATTTATTGTAGAGATTTCATATTTATTATTGTTATTATTTGCTTCAAGGTTGCAGTATTGTCGTATTTCTTGCCAAGGATTATTTGATGACAATGAAATTAATGGATATGTTGAATTACGAAGAACCTAAAAAATTATGTAGCTTAAAGTAAATTTGATTTTTTTTTTAATTATAAATAAATCAAATAAAATACATGCCTTGTAAAAAAACGAATGTGGTTGCGGACCAATTGGAGTTACGAGATGCTTACATAAAAAAAACCTGCTTGTTGCAAAATATGAACAGGAACAAAACCAGTGCTCATTATTTGTTAAGTACCTGCCAGCATTATGAGATTGTGATGCTAATAAATTCCATTCTTTTTGGAATTCATTTCTCCACAAAGCAAGTTGCCATCCATGACATAATAATTTAAATGTATTGATTTTATGTGCAATTACCTAAATAAAGTAATTAATTTATAATACATTTAGACAATAAAAAGCAAATTACATCTATATATAATACCTTTTTTGTGATAATAAAACATAAGAAGTCTAAACGAGGACGATTAAATTTATAAAGATAATTTCTCTTTAAAAATTTCCAATGAGATTCTATCGCCATCGTTGTGTGCAAAATTCCAATATAATCAAATGATGATCATGCCCAGAGATACCAATGCTTTGGGGCATACCACTCACACCAGAGATATGCCCCTAATCAGATCGTTATTGCGGCAATATGTATACATTTCTGTAACACATTCGATTCATATTGCATTTTTATCTAATATAAATGTTTTGTCTTCTTTAGGTATAAGCATGTGTTGATTAAAATGGTTTGTCATAAGATATTTTATGTGTATACGAGTATCTTGATCAGCAAGTTGACATTTTGATTTAGTTGAATTGGTTTCGTCAACTGCAACTGGCTTCCATAAAGGATCAATTACAGGACATCGTTCATGCGCCTCAACTGAATTATATCGTACTACTTGTATTTTTTTTGTATAAGATGATAATTTTTGTTCTACCGCACGTTTAAGGTGCTACAAACACAACTGCACCTTCACATTAGTCCAGACAATCTTTGCTGCATTAATTTGTGTCACATCTTTATCCGTATAGAATATGCCCACATTTGTTAATCCTTTCGCTTTTAATGCTGCAAACCATTTCGTTATAATGCCTGTAATATTTCGATTTTTACCAGATAGTATGAACAAATAAGAGATAGGAAATCCTACACCGTCAATGATTGCAAGAGCTTCATAAAGTTCATATTTAAGCTTATTAGTATTGTATGTTGCATCTACCATAAATTCTGTTAGCTTATCCAATGGTAAGATATTATAAAATGTAGTTATAAAAGCAAAAGTATGTTCATCAAAAAAAAGAAGCTCATAATTTTGTTTTTGTAAATACATTTTTATGGAAACAAGCTCATCATCACATGATCTATATTCTGCCTGTGTTATTTTTGCCCACCAGTAATACACCTGTTTAATTGTTAAAAATTCGTATCCTTCAAT